AGAAAAAAAAAAAATTGTTTTACGAACAACCGCAACTGAAGCAAAATGGAAAAGCCAGAAGTGATACCGCTAGAAAAAAAGATATACAGAGAAAAATTGAAACAGCTCGCAACATGCGAGAGAATCGTTTCCGACGAAACTATAAACGCCATCGGCCGGGTGACCGAGATCGTACGTGCCGCGGACGATAACGCCCCCAGCAGCGATGAACTCGACGAGGAACTCGAAGAGCAATACAAAGATATCAACTTGTATCTCGATTTGCCGAACGACACGTATTCCTTGACCGAAATCAGGCCGGAGCTTCCGTCGTGCGTTCGATATGGCGTGCGCGCTGGAATGACCCATATCAACATGCCAAAGTTCTCGCCGTTATCAAGGGGTCATCAGGTAAATCAAATTTTTCGGGACGATCGTCAAAGTGATCGCGGTCTTTTTTTCTTTTTTTCTTTCGACGATTACGTAAAACCTACTTGAATCGGATTTAACATTTTTGTTTATACAATTTCTATATCTCTATTTCAAATGCTAATAGCGTTGTAATTTGCGAGGAAGTTACTCGAGTTCCAACGATAATGATTAAAGTTTAACACCAAGAGAGCAGAGGTACACCAATTCGCATCGTATCAGAAAGATATCTCTGATTATCCGTGATTGTTTGGACAAACAGGGTGGCGCAACAGCGATCGCTGCTTTCGCGACGACCACGGTGTACAAGTCCCGTTGCTGGAACGAGGCGGTGATCGATCAGATCATCGAGGACGGGGACACGTTCTACTGCGATTCCTACAAAGACATAAACACGGACGATCGCCGATTGCTCTCGATTCTCGATTTGAAGAGGACCATGTGCGTGCAGAACAAACTCGTGGTGAACGTGAGCATCGAGGACGCGGTTTACGCCGGCAAATTTCGTTCGACCGAGCCCACGGAATTGCACCTGGTCAAGGCTTTGGATCTGTTCTTCAAGCGTTACAACGCCGCCATATTGACGTCGTCCGTGTTGAACATAGCGATTTGGAAGGACGCGAGGTATTACAATCTGTTCGACGGCCAAGCGAGAAGGGAGAGCTGCGAACCGGCCCCGGACGGGGTCAGCGGGACGGCTAAATTATTCCTGGTCAAGGACCTGATAGGGCTCCTCTTCATCATTCTCGAGAAGAGCAACGTGAAGAACGAGCCGTTCGTCCTGTACACGATAGCGATCAGGGGCGTGGAACATCACACCCAGATAGCGGACCCCGAGAAACTGGAAAGGTTAGACACGAAACCGCAGAGGCGGCCGAGCGGTTACAAGATGCAGGAGAAGTATCGAGCCGTGGTCCAAGGCTCTTATCACGTCAATCATCCTGTGATCCCTCCGCCGCTTCGAGGCCGCACCTTCTTGATCATAGCTTTGGCCGCCCTCGTTTACTCCCGTTTGGTGAACGCGAACAAATGGACCAGCGCTTTGATCGACCTCATCTTCAATCAGTCCAACATATACTTCGTGGATCTGGTCCGCGTGCTCGACAAGGATCTAGGGGACGCCGATTTCGAGCTCCGGCTGGACGACATCATGGGAGACATAATTCTCGGCGCGTATTCGGCCAAGGTGAAGATACGGACGAACGTGGTGCCCGGTTACGGGCAGAAGAGGGGCAAGTTGGCGATCGACGACGGTATACGGGAGTTCTTTCAAACGCAATTGACGGGTCTGCTCGAGGTGAAGAACTACTTCTACGCGATATGGAGGCACGACGACACGTATTACTTCATGGATCCGTTCGCCTGCGACGACGAGGGGTTCAGGAGCGGCACGGCCGATATCGCGGGCTCGGACAAGCCGGGGGAGGCCGCTTGCGTTACGATGAACAGCTCGATCAACCAGGTGATGGAGACCATTATGGAGAACACGGGCAGCAGGGACAGGGATCCGTTCGTGATCCACGGGGTGAGGGTTTTGTACGTGAAGACGGGCACGACGCCCGGCAGCCCTTTGGAGAGAGTGATCTATCGTGAGAAGGGAACGAACCGAAGGCCCCAACCACCCCCGGTTGTACCCATGAAGACCCCGAGCATGTTGAGGATCGAGGAGATGAAAAAGGTGGATATGAGCCCGAGGATAAGGCCCGAGATCGAGATATTGAAGGACGTGGACATCCAGGTGCCCGAGCTGATGAAGAACGCGGAGAGCTACATGATAAAGGACGACGAGCCGCTCACCTACACGATCGTGACGCCCGAGGAGAAGGTGGTCGAGCCGGAGGTGGTCGGG